CTTCAATGCGTTACTAATTGTACAAAGTACATTATTGATTGATATCAGTGATCCAAATTCAACTTTTGATTTGCTCTAACACTGAATGAATGAATAGTGGTGGATCATTAGTGTTTTAATGATTATGTATTGAGAAGATATTTCCGATCGATACATTTTAATTGGGCCTGATCAAATAATGATGAATAGATTTTGGTTACAATTTTTCAAGTGATATATAAATAAAAATTTGATAGGTTGTATATAAATAAAATCGTATCGCATGATTAGTGTAGTAGACAAGAAGTCTGATTTGTTTTATGTTTGAGTTATCGGTATAAATAAGTAATTTATAGTTTATTAATTAAAGCATTCCTTACTAAAAATTATTTTGTCACGTGACTATGCACAACACTGATCAACAACTGTTGTTCAATTGAAACTACTTAGAATTTGTTTTTTGTTTTTTCAGATTTATGAATAGTAGTGCCTCCCCTGCTGAGGCAATATACCCTGCTGATCAATAGTAATTATGACGACAAGGTCGACTAGTTAACTGTTGAAATTACTAATGATGAGTTTGGAATGGTTTTCAGTGTGTGTACGTGTGTAAATGATTGGTAATTTTAGATAATTAAACATATTGATATTACTAGTATTTGAAAAAATATATCCAAAATGCTGCTTGTTCATTATACAACCAGTATGATCAAAATCACTTGTTTGTGTGTGTGCATGAGTATTTATTCCCTTAGCATTACTTATTTACGCATGTTGCTACCAATGAAGCATAAGCCACCGACCAGTATTTTCGAATCTACTCTATCCTGGGCTTCCCGATCCAGTTCAGTCCAATTGCTGTTCATTCTTCTCATGTCTGTCTGTATTACTCAGAGTAATGTGTTCCTTGGATTAGCTCTTTTCCTTTGACTTTGAGGGTCCGAAGTGAGGGCTTGTTTTGTGACGCAGTTGAAGGCATTACGCAGTGGGCGTCCTATCTAAATTCAGCGCTGACTCCTGATTTCTTCCTCCACTGGAATCTGATCGGCAACTAGGATTTAAAAATATTTCTGTTTTCTTAAGATGACTAACCTACCCAAATTAGACAACCAATGATCTGAATAGTAAAGTGGACACTGAAAAGAGTTGAGTTCCTTGGGTTCGATTCTATGTAGATTTGTGAGTGTTAAATTTTAAGAGATTTTGTCCTAGTATGAAACATTTGTATAAGACACCTTGGTTTTCATCAGCACCCGGACTATTACCAATTCACTACAAAGGTTCACAAATATAGAATAAGCATAAATGGATAGGGGCTAGCAACCAAATCTACCACTGATCATAATCCTTCTAACTTAATGGCAATATCGAAGCTATCCGAACAAGAGTCACATTTGTAGTGTGTGCTACTTGTACGAACGATATAAGTAGTATAAGAAGGGACGTGAAAGAAGAAGTCGCACGGTCACAAGAGGAAAACGGAAAGCAAATGGAGCAAAAGCAAGAAGTAAATGGAGTACCAACAGGAAGGAAAGGAAAGGAAGCAACAACAGAAATGGAAGAAGGATGGAGTGTTGGAAGTCAGGACTCAAAGATGGTGTGCAAATAGAGTATTTAATGTAATGTTTTTGTTTTTAACTGACTTAGAGTGTAAATTTGCATTGGATAATCTTCCGCGCCTGCCTCAGTGTTCTCAACACTTACCAAGAGAAACAGATTAATTGCGATCCTAAACAACAGTCAGAACATTCAAACAACCAATGAGAAATGAATGTTATGCTCGTCACTTGAATGCTTGAAACTATTAATGGTTCAGCTTAGTCGATAAATGAGAACGAGACAATCAACCAGTGTCCGGGGTAGGCTACTCTGATCCGTTGACCCAAAGAAACTAACGAAAAAGTCTTGTTATAGCGTAGAAAGTGTATTCTGCAAACATCCAGCAAGCACACAGTGATCTCAAGCACACAAATCACGTTTATTTATACATCATAGAAACGTCTTTAGGAGCGTCACTAAAATAAAACATCAGCCAATCGCAGCCAAGGATTTTCCTTGTGGGAAATGTGATCTGGAGGTGAACTGATCAGCCCATGAATCAAATCCAATCAAGCCAATTCTGCGGATCTAACATCTCCAACAATGAACATAGAGGATTAATTGTAAACTGTCATATTGTCAATCATTTAAATTTATTGATTAGTTCGTGAAAGCAGTAACCCTAATTATTTAATAACATCAGCGATTCAGATAAAGTATTATTTAACCTTTCATCTCTATAAAAATAAAACTTGGATAAAGAAAGCAAAATCACAATATGAATTAATTTACTTCTTAAGCTTGTAATTTGAAAAAAGACAAATAATTACAATTTGATTAAAAGTAAACAGCAAGTGGTAAATGTGTGTGTTCATATTGATAGACAATTCAATCAGCGTTTAGTTAGAAATGCAGGAATATGTTAGAATTCTTAATGAAATTGATTCATGATTTCAAGGAAATTCAATTATCTCTATAACCTTACAACTAATTATCAATATAGGTACCTTAATCTTTCAATGCTGGAATTTAGTTACAATGCAATGGAAAAAGTGAGACTCGAACAATAATACTAATGGCGTAATCGATCATGCAATGAAAGTGATTAGGTTGATGCATTTACTGATAGCTTGAATATTGAAATAAGATTCTTGAATAGATTTTAAGAAGTATATAAGTGTTACTGTCTCGGAATAATGGAGAGAGAGCGAATAAACATAAGATGGAATATTCTAGACACACACATGATCAAATAATTTGAAATCCAGATATAATATTTAGATTAGCTGGTGTTTCTTGCATTACCACTGTCTCTTAGTAAATAATAAAAACATGGTTTAAAATTTGTGATCTTTAGAAATTTCAAAACAGAACAATTTTCTTACGATAGTTGATGGTAAATATCAGTTATATTTATAGTTGGATCTCAATTCAGAAGTTTATTTAAATTATGATTTAATTTGTTTTGAATTAACTGTCTTTAGAAAGAATACTTTGATATATGTCACTATGAATATGGTATATCCACTGAATATATAAACTATGATATTAACGTTGATATTTGTGAAGCAGTATCCACTTTTCTGGCTATCGAAAACGCCGAACGTTTATAATATCTTGTGTCTTTCGGTCATTGATTTTCTATTAAGAAGGTTGCTGATTTTATCTGAATATTATAACCACTGGAACATGTTTTCCAAGACAACTTGAAGTATTTAAGGCGATGCTGATTGGACGAAACGTGAAATGCGTACGATGCTGAAGAAGTTGAAGTCTTAGTACTACAGCCCATCAGTCAACAACAACACAGAACTTCGTACATATGTACAATAGTTCAAGTTGCCACAACACATTAGCACAGAGATGCATTTGTTACTTCACTTCTCATAGTGGTAAAGGTAGAGTGGTGAAAACAACCATAGAAAAACTGTTCCAAAGTAAATCACACTGATCTACACTAGAGTTTATAAAACAAAATTTTATGACTTCCCTACGTCTAGTTCATAAAACATCAAATTCTGAATCAGTGAAGTTATTTATTAACATTAGACATTTGTATTTAAATTTTTTTAATTAGATTTATGGAGATTAGTGCTTCTACAGATTGGAATAATCAGTCAATCGGTCATTGTTAGACCACCATTAGAAATCTGGAAGCACTGGAAGGTCATTTCGTCCTGGTGTGGGACTTATCAACATTGAACATCCACGACTTCTGTTACTCACAGAATTCAAACCCTGGACCTTCGGTCTTTCATTTAAAAGATCAATGATATTGAATATAATTCAGAATAGAATCATCATCTGTTTACTTTTATGTCTACTTATATAATTGGAATCACTCAGGTTTGTTCTAATTTATGTAATTTAATGATTTCTGATCAATACTAGTCTTTTTAATATTTCCTTTTGATTTGAATAATATCGTCATCTTAATTTTTATTGCCACATATTTTAGTTCGTTAAATTAGATTAAGTTCACTTTTCGATCATGTCAGAAATAAATATATTAGTGTAGGGGATTGTGACTTCTTCATAACTCTTCATGACTCCCTCCCCATGTTAACAATAATTGTGCGCTTACTAGTGACTGGTTCTTAGAGCTACTCCTTGGCCTTCCAGTTAGAAGCCACAGTCAGCGGCATTAAAAGCATATCAGGTATGTTGCAGTCGCCCTTCCTTTTGATTGGAAGACGGTCGCAAAATGTTTCAGAATCGAGAGGAGTTAGATGTGTAAAATATTTGATCCCAGCTCAATGTTCCAAAGGTTAACAGCTTACAATAAGACTTGAATATCCCAAGTTCGATTTGTGGGGAGTTCATGGACGCAAATTTCTGATTCACATACTAAGACCAAACAGTTCTCAAACGCTTATTGGACTTCCCTGATTAACTACCCAAAATCAACCTGTCATGCACACTGTAGAAGTGATTTATAATTGATTGATTACTTGGTAGCTACCAATGTCATGCGTGCCGGGTCCTTATACGTTCTGATTGAATTATGTCGATGGAATTGCAATGTGGACATTATCATAGGTGATTTGACATTGCGTACCATATGTTGCGATGTAAGATGGTGGTTGGAGGTAGTCGACATGGTATCGAATCCTCCAGGGAGCATCAGTTCCCTCAAGATTACAAGTAAACCTTGCGAACAAATGTCGATTAGCACTAAATCCATGTCCAGATTTTTCAGTCTACTACTTCTAACCACCATCTTACAAAAGTGGGTAAATATACAGTTAAAGTATAGCGTAGCTGTTATAATTTACCTCAAAAATATCTATCAACCAATCAAAATTCAGCAAGTCACTATTTAAATTAACAACTCAAAATGTCCTCCAATTGTGTAAATGAATTAGTTAATCTGCCTCAATTACATTCAAAATAAATTCACAACAACATCAGTGGAAATTTTACGAAATTATACGAAAAAAGCACCAACTATAATCATTACTTTTCCTTGAATAAAAATTATTATGAGTAAAAATGAATTCAAGTCAGCCGCATTTCAAAAATCAACATTACGTAAAAAAACTATCAATAAACAAAATACCGAGATAGAAAAAATTGATGAATATAATTTTATTCATTGTCATGGAGAAATTCATTTTCCTGGATGTGAAGAACCTGTCAAGGTAATTAGTTGTTTGGTATTGATCGTGTTTTTGTTGAAAAAATGTTTTATTTAATGGCTCCTATGATAAATAAATGAAACATAGTAAGTTGTTTGCGTGATATATATATTGACCGCAGTCTGGGTAGCATTCATAGTCAACGAGCAATTGATAGCTGTTTAGTCCTAGCATGGGATTCCTCAGCAGTAAACATTTTTGGCTGCATCATGGATCGAACCTAGGTTTCAAGCCTCTAGTGGTGCAAGTTTAGTTCCTTTCCATTTGAGTTATCGCATGACGAATATCCTGATAGAATGATTAAATATTTAGTCGAATAATTATGTAATCCGTAGGTACTCATAACTCTGTACACTTTGTGAATCTGTGATATGCAAGGTATCACTAGTCTGGTTACGGTCGGTATCCGCAGTGTTCCTAGACTTCGTAATTTGCTCGTCCAGACAATCCTTACTACATAGCACCTGACGGTTTTAAATCAGAAGGTGAACAAGAAGTGTTGAATTCGATTATTCTGATACACCACAAATGGACCAGCAGACCACAAGTACGCAGAGCAGGGAAAGCACACTAGCGAGAGAATTGGCAAATGAAGTGAAGTGGAGTTGGTTCACTAGCCTTCTCCATGTCTAGACTAATCGTTTTATGAAAGAAAATGAAATTCTGTTTGTTTGTATTTGAGAGATTAAATGTCTCCTGTTCTAAATACACAAAAAATCTAGTTGATGACTCGTTGAAAACATATTCCTGCTAGTCACAAATCCATTCTACTTTGATATTTCACTTCAATACACACCAGAACTGTACATTAGATTAAACCGGTTACTTTTAGATTTTAAAAAGTGATTAAGATACTACTAAATTGGAATGAATGAGTTCATATATTTTAAACTTTTGTCAGTATGTTTCACATAGTATGATCTTCAAATGTTTCAAGTACATGACTGTCTTATTTGTTCAGTTTCAATTGATTTCTCAGTGTACTACTGTATGATATTTTACATTAAATCTAGCTGACATGCATTTACTATTACTTCTTATGCATTTTACAAAACTAATACTAGTCATACTACAAAACACTTGGGTAATGAATATTTTATTAAAAAATCAGTAGTTTCAACCTCATTTGATCAATAATAATATACGTAGTTAGGATATTTTAAAGTAAATCCATTATGTAGTTATACAATTCTTTCTTTTTTTAACAAGGATTGAAATAATGTTAATTTTTCCTAGATATCTGTGATAATAACTTACCAGTTTCATAAAAAACATTTAATCAAACTGCTTAATTATTGCTAAGTTTCAATTAATGCATTCAGTTAAACATTGAATCGAAATTTCCAAAATATTCAATTTAAAATGGTTTGGACTATCTCATTATTGATAATTTGACTGGAATTCCGATCAGTCTTGGTTAGCGTATGGGCATTCTATTTGGATTACCTCGACATACTTACTTACTTACGACTGTTACTAACAACGGAGCATAGGTCGCCGATCAGTTATATCCAACCAACTCTGTCTTGGGGTTCCCTTTCCAGTTCTGTCCAAATGCTGTTCATTCTTCCCACGTCTTTCTCTGTTTCTCGGCATAATGCGTTCCTTTGACCTTGAAGGTTCCAAGAAAGGTCTTGTCTTGTGACTCAGTTAGGTGTTTTTAGCAGTGTGTGTCCTATCCACTTCCACCGCTTCTTCCTGATTTCCTCCTCCACTCGAATCTGGTTTGCTTTCTCCCACAGTAAGTTGTTGCTGATGGCGTCTCACCAACGAATCCGAAGTATTTGTGTAGACAACTGTTAATGAATATTTGTATCTTGTGGATGATAGCTTTGGTAGTTCTTCAAGTTTCCGCTTCATACAGTAGAACTGCCTTGACATTCGTATTGAAAATCCTGATTTTAGTGTTGATTGATATTTGTTTGGAGTTCCAGATATTTTTCAATTGTAGATATAACCTTCATGATATAAGTTTATATAGAACAGATAGAATGTGGCTTGCAGTGAAATTTAAGATACGAAATTCATTCTATTTACGACTTGTCAGCTGGATGTACTAGCGTCTTAGAGTTGATGTTCGGACGTGATCCACATAGGATGCCCATATGCCAACCAAGACTAGGGTTTTTGTCGTGTTTTACAGAAAGTAAATCTCCACTTACACCAGTCTTTATGTTCTTACTTCACATCACGAGAATTGTAGTGATTACTCGTTTTCAAGTATGAGTAATAATGCAACGCAATCAAAACACTGACAACCAACTAGATAAAACACTTAGATTTCCTTTTACAACGTGGTTAGTTTTATTTTGAGAGTTTCTATCTATTATCAACAAACACTCTAAAATTTATACCAATAATAAGCTCTTTCTAATGTTTAATTTGTTCATACAATTTTCACTAGGATTCGTATTAGACAATAGATTATCCGTAAGTTAACACGAAGGTAGAAAACAAACCTAATTATGTTTTATTGATAAACAATACAATAATACTCAGACTGCAAATATCACTGAAGACATATTACTAACATACTTCAGTAACTCAATGATAATAATCACATACAAATAAGAAACAAGAAGACAAAAATTTGCAAAAAAACTTTGTCATCTTGTGTCAAGACAGTACTTTTATCGATCCTAAAAAAGCAGTTAATAACATATAACTTTCTACACGGTGTGGTTAGGATGTAAAGTATATAACACTATTAGTAATATGTGATTTTCAAAGGAGCCTTGTATTACTTCGTTAAAAATTAATTTTAAGGCTTTAGATTTGTTCTCATTATGTCAGTTAATTAAAGCATCATACCTGTTGTTAGTTAGATTTTAACAATCACATTTAACAATGAACACTATTACTATTCTGCTTAAATTGAATAATCGTTTATTTAAACAAATATGAAGCGGTTACTTCAGATTTCCATCTTACAGAATGTATAATGTCTATGTAGAAAAAAAAATCATAACATTTTATTTTTCTAGTAAGTTATGGTCTCCTTTCTTCAAAAATAATCAGTATTTCAAAAATTTACTAGAGTTAACGCCCTACAGTTTTTTTTTAAAATTTACATACTCATTTGAGTAGAAGTAGTTTTCAGGAAATCAGATTTACTATTCTGACTAAAACTTCCGGACTGTGTACACATTAATATATAAAGAGTATAGCAAAGTTACAGCAGTAGTACATATATATATATATATATATATATATATATATATATATTTAGATGTACGTGCGTATATCTTTGTAATATAAAGGTCTAATTCACGGTTTATAAATAATTCAGATAATTTTTTGAATTCCAGAATTATTCCAATATTGGTCTTGTTATTTTTTGGAAAAAATAATACTTTAGTTTGTTTTAAACTGTTTCCAATATCATAAATTAAGTAGTTATTCATTTGCATTACGGGGTTGTGAAGATTGTTAAGTTACACATTTTTTGAAAGCATGAATCGATCAATGTTAGACCACCATTAGAAACCCGGAAGCACTGGACGGCCGTTTCGTCCTGGTATGGGACTCTTCAGCAGTGCACATCCACGACTCCTGCAGCCCTCAGGATTCGAATCCAGGACCTTCGGTATTGTGCGCGAACGCCCTAACCGTTAGACCACTGAGCCGGTATCTAACGGTGTTAATGTCTAACTTCGCGTCCGCGCACAATACTGAAGGTCCTGGGTTCGAATCCTGCGGGGTGCAGGAGTCGTGGATGCGCAATGCTGAAGAGTTATTCATTTGTAAATAAGTTGACTAGATGTAATATTGACTGGTGTCGAACAGCAGAGAGAGAGAGGCGTAAACAGATGGGTTTACTTTTCTTTTTCCCCGCTTAATTATTGATCAACATTGTAGAATTTTAGATGTAGTAAATGCATCATTGTTAGTCAATTAGTCAGTGAAAATGTTTTCACATTTGCATTGAGAGATTTGTTTGCTTTCAAATATTTATTTTCCTATGATGAGAGATGTTTCCTTGTGTTTGCATACTTTGGAAACTTTCAAGGAAGATCTTTGTATTCATAAACGTTCATAAAACAAACAAACAAAATGACAAATTTTATCATTGAATATTTCAATGTTCAATACTGAGAGACAGTTTACTTGTTGAATTAAATTCAACTAATAACATAAAAATTTTTATAGTGTTGGTAAATAATGAGAATTTTTTCTTGGTATAGAGTGCAATTATGTTTTTTTAGATGATATTCGTTATTTATTGTGGTATCATTTGACACATAGTGGTCAATAACAAAATTAGCAGAATATAAATTTAATTTATACCTTTCTTGATATGACGTACTACATAAAGGATTCACTGTGCTTTTCAAAAGTCTACTGTACAATTTATACTAATTAGTGAGTAGTGAAGAAAGTGTAACATACGCTGCTCCTCACATCCTCCCCAACACACAAGGTACCTTCGGGTTAAACGCAAAACAACCAAAGGCTGAAGTTACATTTGGTGATGGAGGTGGGATTCAGTTAGCTTACATTCAGGCGCATCACACAACAACCATCCCACTCCATGTAACTCAGCATAGCGGCTATTCCACATCATGTAACTCAGCCTCAGAGAAACACAGGTACTGCAAGCACTGAGGACAGTGCTTTTCTATCAGGGGAGCCATGAAACGTACGCTGCTCCTCACATCCCCCCCCAGCACACAAGGTACCTTCGGGTTAAACGCAAACCAACCAAAGGCTGAAGTTACAAAAGTTATCCAATAAAAAAAGAATTCTATTACAAAAGAGGTTTTCATGTAAATAGTTGAATTACATAGTTTATATCACAGATTGATGTAATTCATACAGTTATAGTATTTGTACCAGCATATGGATCCTACAGGGCTTGTTCCAGCCTTTGGACAAATTAATTAATCCATTGTTCTTGAGTTATTATATTCACACGTCTTTCGACCTTGTCAATTCTTTGCCTATCTCATGGCTGTTTATACTTGAGTACGTATGCGGATTATTTACTTCGCTAATTTCTTGTCTAACCTATTTTTTCTTGACTCTAAATACTTGGTCATACTTCATAGCATCAAATTGGCTCACTCTCCTTCTCCACTTCGCTTTGCTTTGCTTTTATGCTTTACATTCTCAATTCTGTCTGCGAGAACAATTTCAAGCAATACCCTCATCCAACCTAATTCGTATTTGGGCTTCTTACTTCGGCCTAAGTGTGATATACGGAAGATTTATTTCAGGGCATATTCGATCATTCGTTCAAACTGGAGTTAGATCACAGGCTACTAAACTGGTGAGCTCTACTTCAGATTTAACTCAGCCACTAAACATTCTTTGCAAACTCATGACATTCATGTCTTTTAGAGAATACCGAACCCTTAGACGACTGAGCCAACATCAAAGGGTTTACACTTTGCAATGTTGTATGGCTACTTTCTAGTATCATTGTTTAGTGAGTGAATACAAACCCTATGGAGAATCCTATACTGTAACATAATAGTTATTGAGTGCTTTCTACTTTACAGTGGTTGTCTAACTAGGAGTAGCCTGTAATGAAGACCACAAAATTATTTTGATCAAAACATCTTACTTTACTTTATGAAAGTTCTAGAAGCTCATGTTAGTCTTCACTTTGGTGTGTTTCTGTACTTACCTAGTGTAAAGCCACTTTTGTCAATAGGTTGTTTCAACAGTGTACCACAAGTGATTAGATTCAGTCATGACTTTTAAAACTTGACTGCTGTATTTTTATGAAATGTAAAAGTAAAAGAAAGAATACAAATAACTATTTCATACCTATATATATATATATTAGCTTCCTGTAACTTGTTCAATACAGTATTTTGTTTAAAAGATAACATTTATTTGATTATACACAAATATATATTTGTTTTTACTCATGATATCACATGAATTCATGAAAAATAGAAATGATTTTCAATGAATTTAGTAACTAAATGATATATTCGTAAGAATGATGTGGGGAGTTTAAGCTATGGTATATAATAAAATCTTGTCTACGTACCTATTATGAAAGTTTCTGAGTTGGAAAGAATAACTATTGTAAAAGTTTACTGGTTAATATAAATGAATGCTGAGAAAAGATCTTCAAGTTAGTTGGTTGTTATTACAGTTGATGATAACACGATGAAACAGCAGTCCCATGCGCTGATGAAATTTAATTGATTAATTTACAGTGTAATCACTAGTCTAAATGATTTCATTTTATGGGTAATATCTTTGGATGTTGACCCAACTTGATTGGTAGAAGCCGCAATATCGCCAAGGATCAAAAGAAGTGTATTATCACTTATTACCCAATGACTAATCAGTCTAGATATCTAAGTCTTATAAGTAATCAAAAGTTAACCGAGTAATTCAGTTATTTCATATCTGATTGCAGCATCGGGCGATATAGGTTCGAATTTTACGAGGACTATTAGCTCTTCTGGGATTGTAGATATGTTTTATTGACGTATTCTAGCTAACATAAAACTTACTACAGATAAGACTTTTCACCAATTTCCTCTAGCTTATAATCATAGTGGTATAATTTTACAGTTGCGTACACTTCGTTCATAATGAAATCAGTCTTTATGGTAATTGAAAAGTTTATTGCTGAAAGATTTCTATTTACAACAAATTATATACTATGGTTAACTGAGTGTATTTACATACAACACAATTGTTACCCTTAATTGGGCATAGGTCACCAACCAGCATTCACCAACCTACTCTATCTTGAGTCTTCCTTTCCAATGCTACCCAATCGCTGCTGAGCCTTCTCATGTCTGCTTCCAGTTCTTGGGGTGATTTATTTTATGGTCTATCTTTTCTCTTTTGGCTTTGAGGATCCCAAGTTGCAACTAGTTTTGTGATTTCCGCAACATACGTCCTGTCCGCTTCTAGCACATTTTCCTAATCTCTTCCTCTGCTTTAATCTGTTTTGTTCTCCTTCAGAGTAGGTTAATATTCTAATACCTACGAGATGAATACATTTATTCACTCATAAAGTATTCAACATTTTTCCTAATAGTAAGACGCTAAGCTCTATATATAAACACATACATTTTAACGTCATAATTCATTAATGTTTTTTAATTTCCAACTTCATAACATAGTTATCATCTTCATTATTGATCACAAAGTATATAATATTCATCTGTATGATATATATTGTTTTTTGTTTCACATTAGTATATTCGCACAGATCAACGTAATACTCAAGATCAATGGAAGCGAATTTTAACCGAGAAATGGAATTTAAAACCACCAACATTAATTATCAGTATTCTTAGTTCACATGCTGAATTAACTAAACGTTTTAAAAACACATTGAAAAAAGGTTTATGGAAAGCTGCTGAAGGATCAGGTTAGTGATGATTAGTTATACATTAGTATTGAAAATAGTTCTTGTGATCAGAATGTATTTATTATTTCTAACTTATGACTCTTATGCACTTGGTACTCATGACCTTGTCAAGGACTGAACCTAGGACACCATACCCTTGCAGAGATCACGTTCACTAATATTTCAATAGAGTATAAACAATAACTTTCTCAAGACATCATGCTTGTACTACTTATATTCATGATCAGTAGTAAAAATATCAAGAGTCTTTTAATTAAACTGTCTAGACTTACCAAAGGAATTAACTATCTGGAATTTCTCAGTAGATGGATTCATACTTAACAGTGACACTCAGTTTATAGGGTTTTAACATTGTAACGAGAAAGTGACTATACAATAAGTGTTCTGTCTTCTCACTAAACAGCCTAACGCAGACACTTACTTACGTATTCCGGTTACCCCGAACAGAGGCCGCCGACAAGCATTGTTCTGGTTAGTGTTTATTTAGCGAGTTGGTTTTCTATGGAAGAGGGTCGCTAACCCCATGCACAACCCTCCTCCTTTATCCGGGCTTGAGACCAGCAGAAGCCACAGAAGTGCTCCAGACGGAGTTGCTATATATTATCACTGAAGGATATTTCTCAACACTTACAGTTCAATTAATTTTCCAATATTACATGTTTATATCAAAGCCTCTAGACATTCGTTGTGTACCGAAACCATTAGTAAACAGTTTTCAGAAATTTAATCTGTTCTGGTGACATAAGTTCAATGACTGAGAGACGAGATGTGATTTTGACGTACACAAGAGATTTAATTTTGTTATGTACGGTCTTTTATATTTACTGAAATATGTTAAGCATATTTAATAGACACTCCTATTCTGTTTTATCTGAACGCCTGCAGACTTCCAGAAACTTTAAGTTTTTGAATTTCTTTCAGTGTTAATTCGTCCAGGAATAGTTTTCCTAATCTATAAATTAAGTCTATGATTTTATTGCATATCAATGTATGTTTCAATAATTTTATTTTTACACATATGAAATCATCAATCAATCATTGCTAGACCACTATTAGAAACATGGCAGCACTGGACGACCGTTTCGTCCTGGTATGGGACTCATCAGCAGTGCGCATTCACGACTCCTGCACCTCACAGAATTCGAACCAGCGACCTTCAGTATTGTGAGCGAATGCCTAACCATTGATGGTCTAACAATGATTGGTTGATGATTTCATATGTGTAGAAACACTAATCTCTATAACTCTAATTGAAAATTTTATTTTTATTTAGGATGTTGGATTATAACTGATGGTTTTGATCATGGAATGACAAAAGTTGCCGGAGAAGCAGTACGTGATTACACTGAAGCTTACGGGAATGATCATATGATAATGGTTGGTATTGCACACACTGAACGAGTGACTTATCAAGAGTTATTTGATTTAGCTCATCAAGGGGTAAGTTGAAACTATTAATTACCGTAAATAACATTCATCTTGATGATTATTATTGAGTTAGATCGATATTTACGTATTGATTGCTTAGAGCTCAATGCACTCAGCTTAAAACTAATACGACTTTGGCTGGAAGGCCAGTCTGTAGGTTTCGATTTAAACACACAACTAGTGTTACTGACTCTGTCTCTCAAACTGTATCGATCAAAGCTGAGAATGTTACCTTGAATTTACATTTGAATTAAGCGATTACTTAATAACTGACACCTGATGAGATTATTTCAGTTGGTTGGAAAAATTTATGCCTGATTATCGTTAGTCACCAAAATCATGTCTTCATACTTCACTGTTAAATTAATTTAAAACTTGAGAGTCATATATTATAATAAAAATTTTTTAAGTATGCATGTCCTTAAATAAAAATGGAAGGAGTTTATTTATCACTAAGAGGTATGACAAGATACTGTCTAGGAGAAATTTTTCATAGAAATAACTACGTTGATTGACTCTGAGTACGAAGTATATTATACTTATGAAGTTATCAGAGCTTAATTTCGGTAGGGGGGTCGTTCTCTGAGCTGAATGGTTTGGTCGTAGAGCTTTTATTGTTCTCCGTAACACTATCATCCTCACAAAATTCAGGTGAAATTCATGTAATCGAATTCCTTTACATATAACTCACAAAATGTCCAGCTCAGAGAAGAAAACCCCATCAGAACCAGTCGCCTGACCTACGAACTTTCTCCACCGAGTTAAATTTAAATTTCCGAGAATACTAAATGATTATAAACTACATCATACGTTAAAACAGCATAAACATTCGATAATTATTTTTGGAAGACTAACTTTAAAAACATTCAAACCTTATCGTTAGTTGGTTGATGCTACGGTACTTCATCTGAGTTCAATTTATCTCCTTGGTATTTTGATGGGAGTGAATTAGATAGTTATTGATTAGACAATATGTAGGCCTGTTTTGACTAATTTGTATAATAGAGTTGAGTTTACTAATCAGCTATTAGATAACATAAATTGAATTTTCGTAATCGTAAGATTGTTCATGATAATATGTTAAATAAATATTTATTTTGCGCGACCTCACACATTTGTCTTCGGTAGTTATTGCCTACACCCGACAAGGTTGAAGTCCATCGGTCACATCTTCTCACTTGAACTCCGAGGATTTTCTCACAAAGCTAGTCACTAGTGACCACATTTTACGATATTTTCAATTACAGGTATGCAGATAAGTGTTTTTCCGCATTGATATTATCGATCAATTTCGAGATTTACAGTATTTCAAGAACTTAGGAACACATTTGACTTTAAAGACTTATTTTACCCAAAGTATTAGTATCGTACCATAAAATATTCTAATGATGGTCTAACAATCATCGATTCATGATTTCTATAAGTAACTTAACAATTTCTACAACCCCATAATGCAATTACCTGTGCCCACTAGTGACTCTCTTCGTGAGGAATCTTCTGCGAGTTCTAGTGATAAGTCATGACCAGTGGAGTTCAATCATGTTCGGGTGTAGGCAATAACTAACGAAGACAGTGTATAAGGTTGCACAAGACCGTGAATTTATCAAAGTTAAACATTATCTTCAGTCCGAATCCTGCAGAGTGCAGGAGTCTTCTTGGATACGCACTGCTGATGAGTCCCATACCAAGCCGTCCAGTGCCTCCAGGTTTCTAATGATAGTCTGAGATTGAGTGATTTATGATTTCAATAAGTAACTCAACAATCTACACAACCCCATCATGCTATAAAGTATTATCACATTTTTTCCAAAAAACTTACATTTCATTTATTGTTTGTTCATGATCGATTTGTATGAAGATCATTTATTTCTTTTTATATTTTCTTTCATAAATTCTAGACTAGAAGTAAAGATATTTCTTCAAATGTCTTATATCCAGATCCTTTGTCTGACGAGGAAACCGAGGATGTAACAAACACAGCAACTACTTCCATTGAACCAGATTTATGGCAATTCAATGAATCCGGTCAACAGATAGACAATGCAGCAATTAAATTATCCAACAAATCACTTACTAAAACAAACACTTATCGTTTAAATTCAAATCATCAATTTCTGGTACTTATCGATCCAATACCGAAACAAACGCAAACATTAGAAGATCGACTCTTAGAAGCTCGTGTTATGTTAGAACGGACTATAATCACATGGGCAAAAGTGTGTGCCAGAAAAAAATGGATTGATCATTTTTGGTTTTTTGATTTATAAAATCGAACTGAGGAGAATTACTGAAAACATATGAGTACTGGATAGATATTTTTTGTAATTCTGTTTTGGAATTTCTCAACGCTCTTAAGACATAAGCTTAGAGCTTTTGAGCATCTTGGTAGACACATTTATTTGAATCGTAGAACCAGCCAATGCTTGACATTCTGTAATGATAATTGAAATCTATCCATATTAATAGGTTCCTGGTTCTTCATTTGTAGTCAGTTCGTTAATTAACTGAGTACAGACTATATATTCTCTCTTTGATTGTAATTTTGGGTTGTTAAAGTTCTCCTGGGGATGTTAGATCCCCAGTACTCACTTGCGAAAAGTCCTAATTTTGGATTTTATTCATGGGCTGACTAGTTAATCTTGAAATCATATTTCCCACCCGGAAAATCCTTGACTGTTATTGGTTGATGTGTTATTTTAGTACTCTATTTTTGTGGCTTTCCCAAGGACGTTTCTATCATGTATAAATAAATTCGATTTGTGTGCTTGTCGACCTCGTATTTTCTGGGTGCTTATAGAATACACTTTCTACGCCATATCAAGACGTCTTCTTCTACTTAGTGGGGCCTTGGGACGCTTGGATTAGAGTAGCTTATCGTATCACTGGATCACTTGTCTTAGCTCTCATTTACCAACTAAGGTTAACTCGTAATAGTTATTATTATTATTAAATCGAGCCCACAAGACTTGCCCAGCTTTTGGACAATTTAATCAACTCATTCTTTTCGAGTTATTCACACGTCTTCCGACCTTGTCAACTATTTGCTTTCATCTTGGTCATTTTTATTCCGGTGTGTATGTGCCTCTCACTTCTCTGACTTCATATGTGTCTAGCTAATTTTCTCTGACTATAATCACTTGGTCATGCTTCATTGTATTGAGCTGGCTCGTTTGCCTTCTTCACTTGGCTTCTCTTTGCTTTTCTTGTATGCCCTTTATTCTCATGTATGCCTACACGAACGACTGCTTGAGATAAATTCATCCGATTAAATCCGTATTTGGCTTCTAATGACCGTCGTCGCACAAACGGGGTTCGCTTAAGTATGATATGGGGAAACTGAAGGGGAGATTTATTTGATAGCATATTAGTAGATCATAAATAAAGGAGTTCGTTTGTGAGTCACTAAAATAGTGAGCCATACAACGAACGAATCTAACACAGCCACAACAGATTTTGTTTATTCGTTCAAGTACTACTTACATTGGTATCTTAAAAGTAAATCGTTATTTTATTATTACTATTATTTTTATGTTTTAGCCATCATCACGTTCCACATGTGAAGGTAGTGGTGGTTCAACAAAGACCAGCACTCAATCCATATTAAATAAAAGTAAAAAATTACGGAAAAAAGTAAGTTTAGCTTTTAAAAAAAAACACAATTTGATACTCACTACTGTTATGATAAAGATATTATTCAATATTTCTGCTTTTACATTCTTTTACATCATGTAACTTATCAAATGCCAACTGATTGATGCAATTCAGTCAACACTATTGAGAATCATAAATGTGACACATTTATTTCAGTCCTTTATATCTGATGAGTTGTGTGACACATTGATGACGACTGAGATGATGCTGCTGAATGACTTACATTTCAATGTCACATGAAACATCAGTTCGTTTCGGAATTATCGGACTAACTACTATGATACCAAGATCAAAGAGAGTTTCTTCTCAAATACCTATAACCAATGAACTGACTTGGTTGTGTAAAACTGGTGTTTAGTTTGCTTATTTTTTCATTGGAAATATCTCCAATGAAACTTTAATTTTTACATATTTGAAATCATCAATCAATCATTGCTAAACCACCATTAGAAACCTGGCAGCACTGGACGGCCGTTTCGTCCTGGTATGAGACTCATCATCAGTGCGCATCCACGACTCCTGCTCCTCGCAGGATTCGAACCCGGGACCTTCAGCAATGTGCGCAAACTCCTAACCATCGGACCACTGGTAGTTTAGTAGGGCTGAAAAATTATTGGTACGTATTAATAAATAAATGATCTGTTTGATAACATCAAACAATCCTAACACTGATTCTGGAATCAGTTGACGTACAAAATGAATTGAGGCATATATCGTAGTTATTTCTATGGCTCATTAAAAAAATCGTAAGCATTAAATTTGACCGGAATGTCAGATTTTTCAGGGAATCATTTACACCCTGAATAAAAGTCGCACAAGTATATATATATATATATATATATATACATCTGGAGAGAGAGAGTTAACTTGACCGACAGTAAGAAATAGACAATCAAAGGAAAGAGAGAAAGGTCAATGATGAGATACATTTCAAGTTCATTTTAAGATGAAAATACTGTAACTTTATTGAAACAACATATGATTGGAATAGCTTCCAATAATTGGTAGTTACCATAACTTAATACCCTTGTTATAATACTAATTTATATTATAGTTAGGAATGTATTAACTTTAAGCATCCCTATACAGACGCTTCAAAATATTGATCAAACCGCGGCATGATCAATATTTCAATAATAATTTTTTTAAATCTAAAACCCATTCATTTTAAACCAAGTTTTAGTATTACTTGACTGCCTAACATAAATTTAGTTATAACAGGGTTCTGAATCCATCACCTAATAGTTAGAAGTCATTGTTTCAATTAGACGTATGGAGACCAGTGATTTTCATACGTAGAAACTATCAATCAGTCATTGTTAGACTACCACTAGAAACCTGGAAGCACTAGACGGTTATTTCGTCATGGTGTGAGACTCGTCAGCAGTCCACATCCACGGCTTCTGCACGTTGCACCTTCGGTCGTGCGCGCGAACACTTAACCTCTGAACCACTGATCCGGCATCCAACGATGTTAATTTTAATTAGAAGTGTTGGGGATGTTAGATGCCTAGAACTAGCTTCATAAATATTTTTATTTCATGGACCTATCAGATGACCCTAAAACCACATTTCCCACCAGGGAAATCCTTGTCTGTGATTGGTTAATGTGTCATTTTTGTGTGCTATTTTGTGACTGTCCCAAGGACGTCTCTATAGAGTATAAACAAACGCAATTTGAGTGTTTGGATTGATTGTGTGCTGTCTGAGTGTTTGTAGAATACAATTTCTACACTATATCAAAACTTCTTGCTGATTCATTTCGGTCAAGGGATCACAGTAGCCTACCTGGACACTGGTTCATTGTTTTGTTCTCGTTATTCGACTAAAGTGAACTCTTAATAGTTTAAGCATACCTAGATTCGAGCATAACAGGAAGTCAACTAAATAAAATAACAAGTTAAATATGCATAACAATAATTTCTTGTCTTATTTTTTTTGCAAAATTATTTATTTCAGGAACAAAAGTCTAAACCTCCAGAAGAATCTCTCCTGCCAATTACATCCATTACTCCAAGACCGTCAGCTACGTTGCCATCGTTAGCCGATGGTCTGATAGGTCAAACAATCAGACGACAAAGTCATATATATACACATACACAAAATATGAAAAAATCTGGAGTTAAAGAATTATTACCTCAAAGAGATGAATCGAATGAAAATCAATTGGTTGATAAAGAAATCAATATTTTGCAGAATATATCACAAGATGAAAATAATTCAACTAGTCAAACAACTGTTCGAGTTCCAATATGTGGTATAGTTGGAGGTGGAAATATTGCTACATTAGATCAGATTTATGCTTCAGTGACATTGAATCGTTGTCCAATGGTACTTGTTCGAGTAAGTTACAGGTAAAAATTAATCTACTGAACATCTGGGAAACATTAAGATAGCCACCTTATTATTCTGGTCAATTGATACCGACTGATAAGTTGGGTCCCTTTAATCTATTTCTAATGAATAATAAAATACCTTTCAGCATTTAGTTTCCAAATCGTTGTAATTTGATTAAAGGTGAATTTCGTATGATGAAAATGTCTAACTGTATTACATAATAAAAATCACATTGTATGGTAAGTTGATGTATTTTGACTAGTTAAATGAATTTCATTTGCAAATTATCGATGTTTTCTTACTAAAACTCCAACAGTTTATGATTGTTTAATCTAAAAACGCCTCTTGTCCACCAACCTGGGTCCAATGTGTTTCACGGATTCCAAGCACCACTAGGTCGTATCTTTTTCGCGACAACTTGAAAAACTCTTCGGATCTCTCTCTATTAATGGTTGTTCTGATTGTGAGAAGTGGTATGCGCCTCATGACTTCCGAAAAATCTCAATTTTCATCATCAGGCCTAATAACACTTCTGAATGAAGACGTTCTAAGTGCCACGGCGCAGTTTAAATGGCCTAAATTATTTGTTCTGATTAGCGTCTTTCTAGCTAGTTGGTTTTCGACGGGATAGGATCGCCAACCCCATACCCAACCCTCCTCTTTTATCTGGGCTTGAAGCAGGCAGTAACCACGGAGGAGCTCCAGGTGGAGTTTCATAAAAACACTAATGAAATAGAATTAGGCAACTATACAAAAACACTTTGTATTCATAAACTTTTTTCAATTGATATAAAGACATAGTCCATTCAAGAACGTATATACTCATTATTTTGTGATAAATTTATTGAAAATTTAACAATCTCTACAAACTCGTCTGAACTATTAATAAAAGATATTTCCCAACAATGGATATAGATTAATGTAAACTGTATGATGGTTATATTATCCTTTGTTTATAAATCATGTTTGATAGACATAGGTGTCGATAATGCACATGCTTAAAATAACCATGATTTATTTTTTGGCACAATCACAGATTCAGTAAGTTATATACCTTCATTGTAATAGCTTCAACAGGGCATTATTGAATAAGTAAAACCAAATCATTCAATCAGCTGAAAATCAGTTTAAACCAGTATACAAGAATTACGAACTGAGTAAAAACGGTTCCTTTGGGAATATTCTCACTTGCTTAGTTATTTACATATGTTTGAAGAATATGTAAATCAATGAGAATCAATCGATTGTAAGAAAGAGTAAATCGATTCCTCATCTCTAAACACGCACCACTTCATACTAGTTCACATTATGTTGAGTCATTGAAACTAGTGATCATGTTAAAAGTTGATGGATGAATTTTGATCAGCATTCAATGATTAAACAAGTATGTCATTGATCACTAATCAACTATAAGTCAACGTAAATATTTCAGTTTTCTGTTAGGTCAGTCGTGTCCCAGTCAGCTCAGCATTAATGACTCAGACTATGAATCTGAGTGATGTATATTTAAAGAATCCAACATGAATTGTCGGTTATCTTAACTGTAAGAGGTTCACCTCGCTAAAAAGAATCTGATTTCAAGAAACGTAGGTCAAGTGTTTCCTTTCAACTAACCCTACCTACTCAACGTTTCAGCATAGTGTAGTTAGTACTAATCCAATCAGAATTTCGACCATATGACATACCTTTCAACAGAGTAAATCTAGTGAAACGGAACACAAATATCATGTATCTTATTGATAATGAAGACATGTAAAAAAACAATTTTATTCATAAGCCCACATGTAGATGAGCGATACTTCAAGCTAGCTGTAAACAGTAAGTACCCTCATGTTTTTTTCAAATCTTATCTGTGATAAAACTAACACTGATTTAGCCAATCAGCAGAAAGTGAACAATTTCATCGATCAATCGGACAACCGTGGTTTTTACATTGAAACCAGGAATCATTTGCTTGTTTTAATACGTATTAATTACGTATGTACACTAAAATCTGAATTCGCTTACATACTGGAGTTAATATATATCTATGCCTTTTTTACAAATGTAAATTTACTTCAAAGAATCAATATACTGTGTAAAGCATGTAGATTGTGAAACTTATCATGTGTCAATAACTGATAGAATTCAATCAGTATTGCATATTTGAAGCGAGAGTCTATTCGGGCTGTCATTAAATTACGCATCTAGTAGTTCCATCTAAAGATGAAGGTATATCGAGAAATGAATGCAGTTACATTCCGTGTGTTACTTGGAGAGCAGATCAAAAGAGAGTTTCTAATTAAAATATCATTTGCCACAATCTTAATATGAAGTCTAATGTTTCCCAACAATTGAATATTGAATTTCTTAAATAATTGACATACAAGATAATTAAACCAGTAGATTTAAATACATTTTTTTTCCTATGTTTTACTAATTAGGGTACTGGTGGAGTAGCTGATATCTTATCGAATGTTCTCGATTTCATGAGTTTTAAAGATACACTGGAAGAGACATTCACTGATCAAGAAATTGATTACAAGTAAGTATTTTACTGAAATAATCGTTTAAAATTTTAAAAAATGCTGATTTCAGTGGCTTTATTAGATATGAGAATCTTGATGGTAGATGTTCATATTGTGTTTTAGTTAATATTTACAAGATGATTGAAGTTTTCAGTAAGTATTACAAACTAACTGCAGTTAAACCATCATGAAACTTTTTAGTAATATGTACTAACAACTCCAATACAGGAAGAATCAAATCTATGATCTTCAACCACTTATTTTATTGAAATATAGTATATTCGGTCAAACAATACGAAATTAGATGATAAGAAACCAATGGATTTTTAATTACTAAAAATGTAATGAAAATTTATATTCATCGTCCACTTTGTGGTAAGTAAGTTGAAAACAGTTTACTTCTCAGGACTAGTCATGTATAAATTCATTCCTAACCAAATCATTGGAAAAGAAGTTACCGGATTATACTTCTTGAATAATTTCTTCGAACCCTAATCTTCTATATTACCGCAAACACTTCTACTACTACTAACACTATGGGATTTGGATTGGCGATTGCATTTCTGTGCCAATGTGGGATGGCAACTTGAGCTGATATATGTACGTACGAAGTTCTAGGTTGTGTAGCTGACTGGTTGAAACAGAAAGGTATCTCATTTTATAATGGATTGGAGTAGTATGCTATTGATTTCCTTAATATGAGATCAAGAAACGTTTCTAATTGGCAAACTTCAGGATTTTATACTATTCATATCCGAAAGCATCAACTAAGTGCCTTGGAAAAAGGGATATCATATAGTATGTAAAGCTAATCACTTGACTCGTGGTATTATTTGAAATCTAAACAGCCGTAGAACTTTACACCAGTGAGGAGACAAAAAGACCAGCATTATACACTAAGATCAGTCATGTTGGATGAAAGTACTAATTCCGTGCTATTCTAACATGTCGAAGAACTAAAATCAAACGATTGACACATAGTTAACTGTGGTTTAAAATTTTCGTGTCTGATATTTACGGCTGGTATAAATTCGTTCAGTTTATACATATTGAATTGATAAAAACAGTCACACTGGTAAAGTCGATTAGATAAACATTTGCAACAAGTAAATTTCTTTGTTGGACCATTCAGAATAGGGAAAGTCGGCGTTGAGAAAAAGCTATCCCATAGGACTTAACAATGGTGTACACCTATACTTCAGACCGATATTGAAATCAGAACTGTCAGCCTTTACAAGAACTTGATTGTCCTAATAATCAATTCTACTTATGTTTTACTAATATTCTGCATACTTTTTGTGAAATACAACTTAAAGTCATTCATCAAGCGTTACTGATTATCAGTCAGCTTCATAATAAAAACATGCTCAAGCAATTCATCTCATAGAAAACATGACTGTTACATTAAAATTATGCACTAATAAATAAGATATCAGCTTAAAATCTAAACAGAAATTGTCTGTTTTTATAAAAGTCACCATACTAGTAGTACTAAACGGCCATCAAATGCTTTCAGGTTTTCAATAGTCATCTAAGTAGTTTAGTTCATGGTTTCAATAAAAAATAAACAGTATAATTAGGAATAGCGTTTATTTTTTTTATCGTTAAATTTTCAATTCCTAACTAACAAACTAACTCACGGCAGTCCTTATTAGTATATACACAATAGTGTTAATCATAGCATACAGTTTATTCACCCGACTTAACCATTAAGATAATGGTTTCACTTTGTTATACCTGTTCAAATCAATGTATTTTATCTTCTCATACATCTATCTAAATTTGAAAAAAAATAAAACATTTTACAGAATAGCTAGTATCATACAAGAAGTTCAAGAAGATGCACGACGTAATAAACATGGTAGACCATTGAAAAAATTCGATAAATCCACGAAATCCATGGACAAACCAATCAATATCACTATTAATCCACCAACAGACAATGTCAGCAAGCCATTATCATCAACAACTGGACCCAATGAATCAGCAGTCACTTATACAATGATCAATATGAAAGAATATGAATCACAAGTGTATCGATTAAAAGAATTAGCTGATGATTATGCACATTTATTCTCTGTATTTGAATATGATGATATTGATTTAGATGGTTATATGATATCAGCATTATTAAGTAGTGGTAAGTGTTGAGAGTTGTTGTGAAATTTCTTTTTGGTTTTGTTTGATTTATAAAATATGAGAATATGGATTGGTATTAGACATTGAAAAAAAGTCATTGAATTGAGGCGAAACTAGTGAATTGATTCAATCAAGGATATAAAGGATGAAGGTTATGTAAGAAAAGTTGATTAATTATTAACTTTGAATGAAATAACTTCTTGAACAACTATGTAGATTGATTTTCAAAGAAATTTAACATAAACAAGCTGTAGTTTGTCGATTTACTGCGTGTTCTTAAGCTCGGTAATTAGCTCGTCCAGACAATCGTTACTAACTAGCGTCTGACGGTTCATAAATCAGAAGGTGAACTCGTAGTGTTGAATACGTTCATTTGGGATACACCACAAAGCGAAGCGGAGAAGCAGTGAATAAAACAAATGAAGAGACGTGAATTGGAGAAGGCTGTTGAGCCAACTCAAAGAGATAGAGCGTGACTAAGAATATATAGTCAGACATGAGACACACGAAGTAGGCACACATGAATAAAAGCGACGAATGATTGACAAGGTCAAGTGACAAGTGGGATTTGTCATGTGAGCTCATACAAACCAGACAATAGTAAGAACGAATGGTACATATAAATTGTTGCGATACAAATAGCTTGGTTCAATAAATTAATCGAAACGGCTTAACCAAATTAAATGTAAGCGAACTGAAATATATGTGGAGGCACTACAAAGCGATTGAATGCTAAGAGAAAATCGATAATTTACTAATTTAAGGAATTCCCTACGACATATTAGTTTAAGGTTGTATGCAGGTGTGAACATGGTAACTGGAATTCAAAAGGTACTTGGTATTAATGACTGCATATTAATTTTCAGTTCATCTACCTCTGCTAGTTTAACTGTTATACAGTTCCTGTTAATGTATAGACTAGACATCAGTAAAATGTATAATTTAACCCTTGCCTGATCGAGAAATAGAGTCACAAGGATCTATTGAGCCTCTTGGTAGCCTCAGAATGTACTACTGTCTATAGTTGCCAAAGTTCATGTTAACTGTTTATAATGATTAGTAAATAAACTTTGAGTAGAAACTCTTTTGATATCGTCGAGTTTAGATCACACTGAAAATAGTTACTTTAGACCATGTATTAATTTAACTCAATTAGTTCTTGTTATGCTTGTTAATTGATATGCTTGAACTATTATAAGTTCACCTTAGTCGGTAAACGAGAGAGAGAAGACAAATTATCCAATGACACGATAGGCTACTCTAATCTGAGCGTCCCAAGGACCTGCTAACGGTATCAAAAAATCTTGATATGGCTTAGAAAGTGTATTCTACAATCACCCAGGAACTATGAGGTTGACAAGCACACAATGAAAATAGTCACTTTAGATCATGTATGAATTTCAATCCATGAGTTCTTACCATTAACTTCAAATGATCCAACCTACTCAGTAACAGTTATTTAAAGAAATCAGTGATATCTGTTTTTACTTTCAATGGAGTCAAACTATTATCGATTACGCTATGGAGCTAAAATAATCAGAAATCTATATCAAAACTGGTCACTGATAGAAAAACCAGTGATTAAGGGTTCTTAGCTTCAAGTTTAATTCTTTCCTTGTTAATAAATAAAGGCTATTAGATTTTCACTATGTAACTGAGTGTAGTACTCTCAGATAAAATTGGAACACTTTAGTTTGATCAGATGTAAGTTTGTGGGAGTGCCCAACGGAGGAGTCCCAACAAAAGCTAGTACAATAAATCAGTGTTTCTTAATTTGGTGACAGTTTGCGATGTAAACTATTTAAGAACTGAGAACTCTGCAGAACACCCTGTTTACGCAACTAAAATTTTATTAAAAGGTTTAATAAAACCGATTATAAAGACAAACTGTTTATTTAATCATATAAGAAAGAATATATGGTACATAAAAATTAAATATCGCACTGCTTTTATCTTGTTTTAATTTACAAATAATTTTTCATTTAAAGCTGGAATTGATCGACCAAAAAATGAACTGAATCTTGACCAGTTAGAAATAACTATCCGTCTAAATCGAGCTGATATTGCACGAACAAAAATTTTTCTTGAAGGAAAACGTTGGAAAGTAAGTTGAATTTTCTTTTAATTTTTAAAAATAAAAGTTATTCGTAAGCATCTAATAAATATTACTCCATATAATTAGATTATTGTATCAATGACATTTGTTTTACTGATCAAATATCCATCATATTTGTGTGAAGATTATTGTTTTTCATTGAAATCATGAATCCACCATTAGAAACCTGGAAGCACCGGATAACCGTTTCGTCTCAGTATGGAGCTCTTCGGCATCGCGCATCCACGATCCCCGCCCGTTGGAATCGAACCAAGGACCTACGGTCTCGCGCACGATCGCTTAATCTCTAGACTACTGAGCGGGCATCTAACGGTGTTAATATCTAACTTAGCAGACTTATATTATCATAATAGTAAGAGATGAATAATACTTATTTAATTAATTGTGTTACTACTACAAGGCATAAGTTTATTAACCATAAACAACTTATAGACTGTCTGAAGACTGTTATATCATTATTTTGATATTAAAGTAAATATGTTTAGTAAAGAAATGTCCGAAGAAATAACACAATTAAAATTGGTAATCAGTTTTTCATTTTTGTATTTATAGCCTAGATTAATGTTTAGTTGTCAGTGTGTGTAAATCCATTGATAGATGATGTCGGAAAGATTTCAAATTTTTACTTGCCTTATATTTCTGTGCTTAAGTTGTTAATATTTGTTGGGGATGTTAGATCCCCAAAATTCGCTTGATAATGCCTTATTTTGGTTTTCACGTTTGCCAGCATGGGCTGATCAGTTGACCTTGAGATTTCAGTTCCCACCGGGAAAATCCATGGCTGTGATTGGCTGATGTGTATTTTAGTATGCTATTTTCTTAACTGTCTCAAGGACGTTTCTATGTTGTATAAATAAAGGAGAGTTGTGTGCTTGATTGTACTGTGATTGCTGGGTGTTTGTAGAATATACTTTCTACGCTTACAAAGCCTTTTTACTACAGTCTCGTATTTAAGTTAGACTACCTGGACGCTGGTTCATTGTCTCGTTCGCGTTTATGGACTAAGGTAAACTCGTAATAGCCTCAAGCATACTAAGTGACGAACTTATCAATATTTAATATTCCTATTGTGAAAATTAGAACAACACAGACATAAGCGAACAATATTATTGTTTTCGATTAGATCGTCATCAGGCTTTATACTCTCTAATATGCATGAATATTTATGATGAAAATGTTCAACCAATCAAGGCAATTTGAGTGATAATCACAATGAAATGAAAAAGGCAAAAGTTCAAGTGGATAGTAGGAAGACAGAGGTGTACTGATAGTAGTAAGAAAATTATCAATAATAGGTCAAAGGTGGATGAATAAACTTCAAATAATCATTAAAAAAACGTAATGATTTTAATGCTTTTTAATTATCACTCAAATAGCCTTGATTGGTTTAACATTTTCATAACATTAATATTCATGTATATTAGAGAGTAAATGGAGCCTGATGATGATCTAATCGAAAACACTAATATTGTTCGTTTACAAAACGAATAATGAAAATGTTGAATTATTTCTCATAAACTTTCAATTAATCACTTCATACAAAACGTTGTCACTGATTGAATTCTCTTTGTTTTCTACAATAACAGTCTAAACATAGGAAAGTATTTCTAGTATTACTGACTAAGATTACAAAAAAGTAATCTATACATTTGTTATGCTAATTTTTTAATTTTTGATCATTTGTTCGAAGGTTAATACTCAACTACTTAATTTTTCTTACTATCTATCATTCATGATACAGATAATATTTACTAAACTGTTTCATTCTTCATTTCAAAGGAATATGGTTATTTGTAATATAATTGATTCGTACAATCTTTAAAAATTCAGGATAATATTGATATCATTATTTGTGAAAAGAACTTACATTATAAGTTGACAGGATAGTCATCCTTACGTGTAAGGGTTTGTAATTTCATCATGTTATTCAGTTCTTGAAGGGACTGGTCAGATATTACAACAGAATAACAAGTTTTTAGTTTATTCAGGATGTGAATAACAAACTGATTTACTTGCAGTTTAGGAAATCAACAACTGAAAATTATAAACTGTTTATAATATCTTAACTTAATATCTGTTGAATAAGTTGACGGCTATCTGGAATCTGTAACTCAATGGTTAACACACTGATTTTTGAATCGTACGTATTGGGTTTCAGACTCATTATAAAACAACAATACTAGAATGCAGATACATGCAACTGACGACATCCAAGTAGGGGCAAAACATGGAACCTGGATTTCATTTCTTAGCTTTATTATTAAATCTATTAACAGATATTCTATCCTATTCAGAAGTATTTTGCAAGGACTATAATTTACAGTTGAGTTTCGTATGCACATTTAAGTCATGAATTATAAAATCTAGTTAAATGATGACATTTTCATTCTCAAATGACACTCTGTGAGAAATGAAATAATTTTAGTCATATTTGACTTTAATCCAATAAAAATTGAATTTTAATTGGTAGAAGTGTTTTCTTTTGAAAATCGACTTCAAACATAAATCGTACTCAGTTTCGCCTTACTTCAAATGATAAATTTGTTAGCGAAACTCAAAATGACGAAAAATATGTTGTGCTTGGTTGTTTGAATGCGATCATCGATTTACTCATCTAGAAATTTATAACATTTACTGCGGATTTCTTAAAAGCATAAAATAAACTGGATAGGTATTTTATTTTTTCTTAAAAATCTGAACTGTTACTTATCACACATAAGTTTAACTATTATTAACTAAGTAAATTACATTTGTAAGTTTTAGTGGCTGAACGTTAAGTAAATCCATCGTTCCATTCGACAGTCTGGTTGAAACCTCATCAAATAAATAGTATGAGTTTTAATATTTGATCAATTTCCTTGATTTAATTTGGATCAGATTGCCGTGCAAAACGATCGATTTACTTCAAAGTCAATCTCTGAGACTTAAAAATATAAGTTTTTTTGAAGTCGGAATCTCAAAACGAAATACGAAATCATTCTACAGGTTTAATATCTCCACTAGATAGTGCTTTTAAAATTTAAAGTAGTTTTCATCATGAAGAAACTTCGATTGAACAACCACTCTAAACCAAGAGACACTGGTCAGTTTTTTTATTCTAAATTTTTGTAGTTTTTAGTGGCTGCTCTAAATTTCGAAGTAGGTCTCATCACTTAAGCCACCCACAATCTGACTACAATTTGGACCAATGATAGAGTCTGCAATAAAATAAAATTCCCCTTCGATTTCTGTATATCCTACTTACGTGATGAACCCCGTTTTTACGACGACGGTAATACAAAACCAAATACAGTTTCCCTGATGAATTTTGTTTCAAGCAGTCGTTCATGTAAACAGACATGAGAATACAAAGCGTTAAGACAAAGTGAAACGAAGCTAGGCAACTGAATTTTATGAAGCATGACCAAGTATTTATGATCAGAGAAAATAAGCTAAGTAAGCATGTGCACTCACACTTGAATAACAACAACAACCAAGGTTATGAGTGAATGATCGACAAAGTCGAAAGACGTGTGAATATTTCGAGAAAAATGGATTAATTGATTTTTTCAAAGGCTGCAGGAAGTCCTGCCTGCTCAACTTATTAGTACACACTACAAGTTCTAAATACTGTACACTTGGATACTGAATTCTCAATATGAGAAGACTTAGAGATGTGTATTGAGATTGCATTTTTTTGAGTATCAAATGTGAATAAACATTTGTTTTCAAGATATAATGATCTTTAAATTCGCGTCTAATGTTTTACCGATAAGAATTTATTAGAAAATAAATCAGTTTATTAGTTCTGTTTACTTAAGCTTCAGTATAATTGCTATCACTGTTTCTGAATAAAAATAATTCTAGATAGATAACTTTAGTGGAAAGAAATTCTTTCTAATACTTTACACAGATGTTTAAATGTCCCAGTTAAATTATCAATTTTTTTTCTGTTATTTAAAAGAAAGGTGATTTGAATGAATTCATGTTCAATGTTATTTTGAATGAACAAACAGATTTTGTTCGATTGATTTTGGAGAATGGATTTAATCTAGATGATTTTCTTACTGTGCATACACTAGAAAGATTATATACTGAATGTTTAAAAAAGACTGTAAGTTTAACGATTCATTGACATTTGATTATTTGAATCATTTTACTAATAATGTTTATGACCGTAATTGATCGGTCTCATTTGGTATATGTGCATCCTGTGCGGATTTCCCCGAAATTGCCCATTAAAAATAACAGGCATTATTAACATAGGTGAATGATCATTGTCAGTGAAATTTAGGGTCGCACGTTTCGTCCTATTTGAGATTCATCAGATCGACCTCAGAGTAGAGTGAACACACAAAATAATCCTTTTTAAATGATATCATTAGTATGATCATTGTAGTACCGGTAATATTAGTGTACTAGCACTTACCCACTCATCAGTATCTGCTTTTATAGTGAAGAAAGACGATCAGCAATCATACGGAGATTAAGGATGTAGTAATATGAAAGCTTAATGTTTTTAATGAAGACTCAAGAAATACACAAAAACTGAGTAAAACTGGTACAATAGTTTAGAAAATGCGATTACACTAGTAAATAGTGTGAATACAGAACGACGAACAGTAGTCACACAGTACGTTCCAAAAATACTATGAAAATGGAACTGCCTACTAAATATTACCAAGTAGTATAATACAGTGCATACAATAAATTGAATGGAAAGAAAACAGAGGCAGAGGATGGGAATGAACTTCAAAATGGGTTAGTTATATGGCTCAGAATGATCGATAAGATCTTATACAAATAAAAATATTGCATTATTGTCTGAAAAGGTTAGTTGATTCGAAACAGGCACTGAAGTGAACTAATTTGAATGTTGAATGATACTTGTACTCTAGTCTGATGCTTACAACTTGACTGACTGAAATATGAAATGATACTGTACAATTCAAATTTATAATTTTAAGACATAAGAAACACCTAAGAAACCCATGAATTCATCAAGGTGAATTAGATATGTGTTATAAAGTATGTAAAAGCTTATATCTAAAGGAAGATGAACTGTAAGCAAAATATATAACTTATTTGTGCCATATTAATTAATTTCCTGTATAAACACATCCAGTTAAAATGCAATTTCACGAGAACAACAACAATGAACATAGAGAAATAATGTGAATTCAGTTACTTCTCAGTTTCTACACAGTAGATTACTAACTTGAAATGAATGATTATCAGTTTTTGACCGCAGTTGATTAGTTTTGATATACTCTAGTTACTCCTGGTGGAGCATAAGCTTCTAACCAGTATTCCACATCCTACTGTGTCCTGAGTCCTCCTTTACAGTTCTATCCAGTTTTTTTCATTCTTCTCATGTCTATCTCCATTTCTCCACGTAATGTGTTCCTTGACTTTCCTCTTTTCCTTTGGTCTTAAGGATTCCAAGTGAGGGCTTGTCTTGTGACACGGTTGAGTGTTTTCTGCAGTGTGAATCCTACCCACTACCGACGCTTCTTGCTAAATTCTTCCTTCACTGGAATCTGATTTGCTCTCGCCTAAAGTAGGTTGTTACTGACGGTATCTGGTCAACAGATCCTTAGTATTTTGCATAAACAACTGTTAATGAATACTTGTATCTTGTGGATGATCCCTTTTGCAGTTTTCCAAGTTTCCCCCTCATACAGTAGGTCTGTCTTGACGTGTGTATTAAATATTCGGACTCTGATGTAGGTTCGTAATATTTTCGAGTTCTAGATGTTCTTAAATTGCAGGAATGCTTCTCTTGCTTTTCCGGTCCTCGCCTTCGCATCAGCATCAGATTTTACTTTTTTCATCGACGATACTGCCCAGATATGTAAAAGCTGTGACATCGTCCACCAAGTTTGATTTACTTGGTGCATGTTGTGTTGTGTATGAGAATCTTCCTTTTTCCTTTTGGTATATGGAGGCCTACTGCCGCTACACTGGCTGCTTCTTCTTCTCACGAAGCTCGTCGCGAGTGAGCGCATTTTTTAAATTTATTATTGATTATATCTAGTAAACTAGAAAATAATTTATAAAACTTCTTTAATGAATTCTTATCAATAGTTAATTGTTATATCTATATTTTTTTTAAAATTTATTTTTGTTATTTTAGGATTATAAATCAAGATTATTACAACAATTATGGAAAAATTCTAGAATTTATAAAATGGATTGGGTTATGCTTAGAGATATTGGTAGAATAATAAAAAATTTATTAGGAGATTTTTATCATCCATTTTATTTATCAAAACGTTTTCAACATTCAGTTGTAGAACATGGTTATTGTGATTCAAGTGATGAAGAAGCAACTAATGAAGATTATGAAAAACAACCAGGTTAACAATGATTATGTATAATGATGATAATTATGTAATTTTCATAGTTGAAATGATGAATTGATCAAAGCTAGACTATAGTTAGGAACCTGGAAGCACTGGATTGTTGTTTCGTTTTAGTTTAAAGGGAATAGTATCCGAAAGCCTTCAGTCTAACGTGTGCACGCCTAATGTTGGGGATGTTAGATCCTTAGGAATCGCTTGATAAATATCTTGATTTTGGATTTATTTCATCAACTCATCAGTTGACCTTGAGATCACATTTTCCACCAGGAAAATCCTTGGCTGTGATTGGTTTCTGTGCCACTTTAGTGTGCTGATTTTGTGACTCTCACAAGGATGTCTCTATAGAGTATAAATAAACGCAGTTTGAATGCTTGGATTCATCGTGTGCTTGCTGGGTGTTTGTAGAATACACTTCCTACGTTTTATCAAGACTTCTTCCTGGTACGATTGGGACAATCGGATCACAGTAGCCTTCCTGGACACTGGTTGATTGTTTTGTTCTCGTTATTCGACTAAGGTGAACTCGTAATAGTTTTAAGCATACCTAGAGACGACAGTAACACTTAACTTCTAGATTACCGAGTGAGCGTCCAATGGTTCTCATGTCTAACTTCAACCAGTCCATGATTTTGACCAACATTCATCCATTGTCTGTGGCGGATAACTGTCTCCTATCCGACACTGATTGAACTCCACTAGTTACGACTTCTCACCATAACTAACCTAATACATCACGAAGCTAGTCACTAGTAAGCACGCGAGACGAAAGATCCTGAGTTCGATGCCATCGGACGAGGGTCATGAATGCGTACTGCTTAGAAGTCCAATACTAGAATTAGGATATCGTTCAGTGGTATCAGGTTTCTAATGGAGGTTTAGCTAAGATTATTTTGAGGTTTCATTGATGAAAATAATACAATTTTCACAAGCGCCTCTTCATTAATCATATATTCATATAATTTCTTTGTAGTTTGAAAAAATAAAAAAGATATCCTTTCATAAAATGTGTTAATATATATTGTAAATATTTTGATTTGTCAAAAATTAACTAATATCAGTTATATGACTTTTTAGGGAAAAAAGTTTATTCCAGTCTAGTTTGAAATATTTTAACAATGTTCACTTATGTTTGTGTAGGATGTAGAATCTATAAACTTCAGATTCAGTTTTTTGTATATGGTTGCTAATAATCAATGTAAGAATAGTATCAGGTCAACATTCAAATACTATCTGATGTTCTTTAATTTTGAATAGTTTTCTACATGTCATTAGTTTATGAAGGAAAACTATTGTCAAACTAAACAAATAGACATGCTCATAATTGACTAGTTTCGTGAGGAAATTCACACCGTTCTAGGGAGAAGACGTGACCAGTGGAGTTCTACCCTGTCGGGTGTAGACAGTAACTACCGAAGAGAAATCTCTAGATTTATCAGAACACCGTTGGATCCCGGCTCTGTGGTGAAGGTGTCAGAAGTTCGCTCTTAAAACCGAAGGTCCTGGGTTCTAATCCTGTGAGGTGCAGGAGTCATGGATGCGCACTGCTGCTGAGTCCCATAACAGTACGAAACGACTGCCCAGCGCTTCCATGTTTCTGATGGTGGCCTAACAATGACTGATTGATGATTTCAATCTGAAAAAATAGACAAATAAATTCTTTGTTGTTAATTCGAAAATTCTGGTTGGCGGCCTATGCTCCACTAGAGAAAATAGGCTTAAGTAAGTAAGTAAGTAATAATACGAACCAAGTTTCGAATTACCATAGTCAGAACTACTAGAAGAAAGGTATCTGAAAAACATTAAGAATAGTGAAAGATCCAATAAATTTGGCATTATTGGCTGTAGCTAGGAAACATTGATTTTTTTAAGTTAATCTAAGTAAGATCCATTTTAACTGTTAGATTAGTGTACACTAAATCTTACATTATAGGCTGTGTTCTGTATTATTTGTTGATTGTTTATGAAGTAAAACTATAATTATTTTTTGCTAAAGATATCGTGAAGTGCATAGCCTGTTTGACATTTTATAAACACTCAATAAATGTAGAGTACTAAATTCTAATTCAGTAGTCTAAAATTATCATCAAATTATTTGATGAGTTATCGCGTTGTCGATATTCTTGACTGGTTTTTGATCAGTCTTACCAAATATGCATCTTATATTGGCTAGCTTTGATATAATCGTGATAATTTCAAAAACATTACAAAATGAATTTTATTCATACAAACGAGGATCTATCAGGACTCATTAATGAAATGGGAAATACGTTCGACACTTGAAGCTAAAAGTGTTAGATTCGAATCTTGGAGAAATTACTAACTCTGAAATGAGCGTACTTGCAGTTGATAAGTCCCATTGTATTCTATGAGTAATTTGTAAGAAGCCAAAATATTCCTAAGTAATTAACTGTCTTATTATCATTTGATTTTATCAAACTTTCAAAACGTATTTAAAATTCACTTTATTTTTCCGTTGTGTTCACATTAAAAAGGTAAAGTCATCACATCCACGTCAACATTGAAAGCTGTCGAACCAATACCGATATCATTCAATGTTGATGAAAATTCCGATGTTGAGAAATCTGCGGATCACCATGATGACAGTAAAGAAAATAACAATCAATTCGAAGAGAAATCTTCATCGCATGATCGCAGTAAAACATCAGAAAAACATGTTCAATCGAAGCGTGCATTAAATCATCCACGTGGAAGAACTGATGATGCAGAAGATGGTACAAGTTATACATCGTCAAATAATTCATCTGAAACAAAATTAATTAAATCACCATCACAGAGTAGAACAAAATCACGTAGGTCAGTTAGCGCTGATACAAGAAGTGAAGTTAGAAATGGTAGTAGAAGTAGTAGATTAAAACAACCAACAGTGAATGATATTGTTCAAAGATCAATATCAAACAATGGAAGACGATACATTGTGAAGCCAGTAGTTGGTGCAAATAATCGTAGGAATTATTATTATTATCAAAATGATAATTATGAAAATGATCAGAGTAGTATGATGAATGGTATGATAATGGGTAAAAAACGTCTTATCACCACATCACAATATTTAAATGAAACAAATGATATTGTACCAAAAGCACGTGAAGATAGTTTTCTAGATAGGACATTTTCCAGCGCAGATGATAAGAAGCTTTCAAGTAATTCGAATGAATTCAACTCATCAATTCAAGAAAATGGTAAGATGATGATTTGTTATTTTATTAAGGGACATTTTTTACGGCTGCACTTAAACACGTCAACTTAATATGCTTGAACTATTACGAGTTTACCTTAGTCGGAAAACGAGAGCGAGGATCGAGGATCTGGCGACACGACATACTACTCAAATCCGATTATCCCAACCTCCATATTCAGTGAAAATAAGAAGACATGATATGAAGTAGAATCTGTATTCTACAAGCAGCCAGAAGGTACGAGGTCCGAATCCAGATCCGAATCAGGATCCCGGACTAGGGCTCCGAGACCGGGTCCTGGTCCTGGTCGTGGTCATAAAACGTTACAGATAATGCGTATTTATACATTTTGGCCAGATGAGAAACAGCATCGAAGTCTGTGACATTGACAGTTAAGACGACCAATAGGACGCGACATTGACAGAAAGGACAACCAATAAGAAACAACATTGGAGCATGTGACATTGATATATAGGGCGACCATAAAATTGACCAGTAGTAATTAACCAATAAGAATTGACCAATAATTCTCTTAGGATATTGGATCAATATCCTAACAATATTGCCATATTATAAGTAGTATTTAGCATTACTTATTTAATCACCTCTGTTACCTCTCGTGAAGCATGAGCCATCAATCAGGGATTTTCAACCTACTCTATTCTTGGCTTTACTTTGCAGTTGTTCCCAATCCCTATTCATTCTTTTCATGTCTGTATCCAATGCTCGGTGCAATCTGTTCTATGGTCTAACATTTTGGTCCTGAAGAAAACAGGTAAATACTTGTCTTGTGAAGCAGTCGAATGCTTTCCTCAATATGTGTTCTATCCCCTTCCAGCGCTTTCTCTTAATTCCTTTATCTGTAGGAATCTGGTCTGTTCTGTCACACAGTAGGTTGTTGCTGATGGTGTCTGATCAACGGATTCTCAGTATCTTGCGCAGTTGACTGTTAATAATCACTTGTGTCTTTCGGACGATGGAGTTCGTGGTTCTCTAAGTCTCCGCTCCATACAGTAGAACTGTCTTGGCATTTGTATTGAAAATTGTGATTTTGGTGATTGTTAACAGTTGTTTTCAGTTCCAGATGTTGTTCAATTATAGAAATGCTGCCCTTGCTTTGCTATTGTGTGTCTTCAGATCTGTACTAGATCCACCTTGTTTATCAGTGATGTTGCCTCACACGTATGTAAAGGCTTTCACACTTTCTAAAGCCGTTCCATAGACTGTGATTTGATTTGTGTATGTTGTGTTGTATCGGAGGTTCTTACCTTTTTCTTGTGTATATTGAGACCTACTGTGAAAGAAGCTGTTACTATACTGGTCGTCTTCTCTTGTATTTGGTGCTGCGTGTGGAAGGGAAGGGCCAGATCTATACCGAAATCTATATCGTCACGCTGCATCCAAGATGTCCACTGTATTAGAACGAATCTATCAGCTGTCCTCCGTCCATGATTTTGCCGTGTAGTCCATCTTGAAGATTCCTTATGATGTAGACTACCCTCTCAGAAACACCGTGGTATCGAAGAAGCCTCTATAGTCTCATCCTGTTCATTCTGTCCAGTGCTTTATCATAGTCAATGAAGATGATATATAGTGATAAATTCCATTCAATGAACTGTTCCACAATCATTCGTAGTGTTGTGATTTGGTCGGTACAGCCCGCAGATCTGGAAGTTAGATGTCTACTGAATCCTTCATTCGGTTTAAAAACACTCTAATGAAGACCTTTCCTGCTGCTGAGATTAGAGTGATGCCTCCTTAGTCCTCCCACTTGCTAAAATTTTCTTTTTAGTCTCTTCCTCCCAAACCTTGCTGAATAGGGCGTGGAATATCCTAGCAATTACTTCTATATCCGACTTCAATCCCTCAGTTGGTATGTGCTGTCTGACCCACCTGATCTACCGCTACTGCTGGATGATTATGGTGATTTCTTTGATTATAGGTGAAGTAATATCTATGGGATATCCTACAAGTGCTGCTTCAATGTTAGGTGGATTCATTCTGACTGGTCTATTCAAGAGATCTTCAAGACGTTCTACTTACTTGTTTCACTCTTCCCAAATCTTAGTGATTAGTTTGACTTTGTGGTGGCCAATTTCTACGTGTTCTTTGTCTTCGTAATCAGCTCGTTCAGACAATCGTTACTAAATAGCGTCTGACGGTTTATAAATCAGAAGGTAAACTCGAAATGTTGAATACGTTTGTTTTGGCACACCACAAATAGGTTAGCAGACCACAAGCAGACCGGGCAGGTACACTAGAGAGTGAATGGGCAAATGTGCGAGTGTGTTAATAAGATTAAAATGTTCGTATATATACATAGGAAAATGTCTGAGTCATCGTGATATTTAAGAGATCAATACTAAAGCGAATAGGATGAGTAAGCGCGTAAGCGTTAGGCAATGCTCAGTCATACCAGCTCATACAAACTACACAATAATAAAAGCCAATGATACATATAAGTTATTGTTTTACAAATGGCTCGGTTAAATGAATTAATCGAAAGGGCTTAACCAGATTAAATGTAAACGACCTCGAATATACGTGGAGGCACTACAACGTCGCTGATCTTGATTTAACATAAGTTATTTAATAACTAACCAGTTGTATATGATTGCTGTCAGATGAGAACTTAAAATTCTCTCGTTAGCTGAACACTTTCGAATAGTTTCTGATCACCGTAAAGTAAATAATAATCTGATTTGATTTATTTCATCCTAAATTTCACTTTAGCTACAGTCAATATCATAGTTCAATCGCATTCTTCAATTCGTTCGAATAAAACTGAAGCATCTATTATCACTGACGAACAGTCCAATGAACATCGCCATTATCTACACCAAAAACAACAACAACAACAACAACAGCATCAAGATGTAACTGATTCTCATGACCAATCAATAAGTAGTAAATGTCAAACAACCTCTGTCAGTAAACATACTTCAATCAATAAAAATGCAAAATTTCCTGTACAACGTGTTGCACATTCCATATTACATCCATTAACTGATCCAGAGAAAGCACGTTTACGTTTAAGAGAAATCGAGCGACAAACAATTGAACGTAAACGTGAAAAAGAACGTAAACGACGGCATAGAATAGCTCAAGAAAAATTCACCATAATGGAACGTTTAACTGGTCAAGCTAAAGCTGAACGTATGTACAGAAAATTACTATTATCTTCATGTATATATAATATATGATAAACATGGTATACGATGACTGTGTTGAAATCTCTTCGATTTCCATATATCATGCTTAGGGGAACTCCATTTGTACGATTCTTGTAATAAGAAGCCAAAAACCGGATTCACTTGAATGTGTTTATTCTATACATTCGGTAAATAGACAGACAGACACGAGGGTAGAAATCTCAAGATCAAAGTGAAGCATAGTAGAGGAGGCGAATAAGCCAAATCAATGTGATGAGACATAACCAAGTATTTACAGTCAGACAAAAATTAACTAGCCTTGTGAAAAACGAAGTAAGCAATGCACACATTCATTCAATTAAAAACAACCAAGGTTGTAAGTGAATCATTGACAAGGTCAAAAGACGTGAAAACGGTGACTGGGGCTAATTAGCTTGCCAAAAATCTAGGACAAGTCATATAGGCTCAACATATTTGTACACACACTACAATTTTTATGAATCAATAATAGGGAATAGGCAGGGAATGGAAGATAAAAATGATTTCAGTACTTAAATTCTCGAAATTTCGGATGCTCAGGTTTCTACTCTGCTCAGTAAACGTTGCAAAAATCTTGATAGCTTGAATCGGACTCTGTATGTGACAGAAAATGGTGAACTTTTAATGAATTCAGTTAGTCCTTTACCTATTCGAAATGTTCAATAAAACAACTGTCAATTTGCCTAAGCGTTTTCTCCATTTAATTACCTCTAGAAACTTAGTTAAATTTAAAAAACGAATATAAGTTATTGAATTCAAAAAGCGAGCTTTTCCTAGTCGATAATGTTTCTTATATTTCTGACTTAGATTTCAGTAGCTACATTTTGTGTGGCTTCAATATGTTATCTCATATGTTAATAGCGAACTGTCTTCTCAAGCTGCCTTATTTAACGTACCATCCATATACTTCATAGAAAAAAAAACACCTACTTTTAAATGTTGTTTATTGTCGTTGCTTTATCTTCTACACTACCAAGATTGATCAGTGTCGAAACAAAGAGTTGTTTAACAAGTTTTTCAATTTTCAGACTTATTGTTTTGTTATTTAGGCAATAATGATCGTGATTAACTTTATAATTGTTGATTTTAATGCAATTTTACAGGACTTGAAGAATTAAAGCCATCCAAACTTGCTAGTAAGTTTTGATTGATAAATTTTTGTAAATATATTATTAAAATTTAACAGTTTTTTGTGCTCAAATTCAATGTGAACATTGGACTAAGAATATTGATTATACAGCCTATTATCAATCAATCAACTCAATATCACGTGATATTAAACTAATAACACCATAAAATCCAATCAAACACTTCGTAGTAAATCAATATCTGTGGTGGAGACTTACACACAGAGGAGTTCGATGCTAAGAGGAGATTCCAGATTTTCATTGATTGTCAGGCCATATTCAATTTGTAATGTAAACTATGAACCCATGAATATCCTATCAATATCAGTATGTCCCACTGTGTCTTACCACACTAAACTACAAAATGATGTTAAACAAATCTTGTACATAGAGTACATACAACTGTATGCAGGCTGTACATTAAACCCAGTATGCCATCATAAACAAGTACTTTGAAAAGTACAGTGGTGATTATTACATGTTGCTCAGAACGATTTCCAAAATGAATGTTTTATATTGATCTTGGCTATATTTATCGATGAAAACAAAATTGCTTGCCTCAATCTTCATTATAATTTAAATTTAACCGAATGTTTAATACTCATAACACTTTTTTCTCTTCAACATTGCTTCCAAAAATCAATACAATCGTTTATTTTCAGTATATGGTTAACTCAACAATCTCCACAACGCTACAATGAAAGTTATCACCTAAGGTCCTGGGCCCGAATCTTGAGAGGAGCGGGAGTCGCGGATGCACATTGCTGATGAGTTCCAAACCAGGACGAAACAGAAGTCATGTGCTTCCAGGTTTCTACTAGTGGTCTAACACTGATCGATTCATGATTTCAAAATCGTGTATTTGTATGAAATAACCGAAATGATAAATAAGTTTTATTAGTTAGTTGGCAAGATTACTGTATTAATAAGAAAAAGTCTTGAAATACAATTTCAATTATTGGATAAAAAAATACACTGACTAAGATTGACCTCAATGTGTTCAATAATCCATTGTTCATGTCCTTGAACAGTGCTACACTTGACACTGCCATGAGAGACTGTTGCGGATAATTCCAATCAGTTACAAGGAAATTATTAGCATAAATTCAACACAAATTTACAACATTCACCTCATACCAATTCAATGCAATTCGATAAATGTTCATTCATATAATCACTTACTTTTACTGAACAGATTTTAATTTGATTTTATGATATTATAAACTCACCATTTCCATTGAAATAAAGTTTGAATTATTAATTTTTTGTCCAGATTTTAGACACACTAGTACAGTAAGATTTGATAGACCAGCTAGAGAGTTAATGATGATGTGTATATTACTTGGAAGATTTGAAATGGCTGAAATATTCTGGAATCAAGAGAAGGTGAGGAAGAAAGAGGATTCTCAGTTTACACTTTTCTTATAAATTTCAAATTATAGTAAAGGGTTTTTATTTCATTCACAGTTTAAAAGCTACATATTCACTAGACTTGTCTAACTCCCAATATTGGTCATTATAGTGAGAATCCAATCCACTGTACACTGTACAGCTAATTTCATACCTGCTTGTTAGGGTTCGCGTTTTCCAGGTGTTGACATTTGGAACTGTATTTAATCATTCTTAAAAATCAAGATAGATGTAGTTAATGAGTCCAGCATAAAACGGTGAAAACTTGGACCCTATTATTTGTCACTGTATGAAGTCTAGTTAAACGATAACACAGTAGTTATATTGCGGTACCCACTCAAACACTAAATACGTCAGTAGAGAGTGAGAGCATCAACAACCGAAAGTGTTGTTGGAAAGCAAACAGCGAGAAAGTAAATGTTTTACACAATATTTCTTGTTTCAATTCTAATCTACTTTAATTCTTGGTAAACATTTAGTAAATTAAGTAACAGTATTGCGTGTAACCGAAATTCCTTTATCTTTTTAAAGTATACTCTAGTAGCTGTGATCGAACAAGTTCAAGAATAGACCAAAGAAAGCGTACAAATATAGAGTTATACGATCGATATAACCAAGATCTCTATTCTGCTCCCACTATTCAATCTCATTTTATTTTAATTCTACTGTTCATTGGAGTTGATATTTCCTTCCTATTATCTATTTTAAATCTCATTAATTTCTTTTGTCACTCATTAAATCAGTTGAGAAATCTAGGACATCCACATTTAATCTTATGTGGATCCTAGTGTCAATCAATGTCCACACAAGGACCCGATATTGACACTCAGATGAAAGTACACTCGGCTGGTAAGACAATCTGAACGGAATGCATATTTCTTAACAAAAACTGATCAAAATTCAATACTGAATATCAACTATTGGGTCAACTATGTAATTAGATTTCAATGTACACTTACCATATAACCTATAACTAAATTTCTTGATTTTAATTGCTATATTACTATACTTTTTTTTTATAGGAACCAATTGCTGCTGCCTTAGTTTTATCAATAATCATTGCTGAATTAGGACAAAAATCAGATGATGTTGCAAATAGAGAAGAATATGAAGAGAATGCTCGGTAAGTGAGTTAAACAAATAAACAAATTAACCAATAGCTATCTGATTATTCGTTCACTATAGTTCAGTTATAAATTATCGTACTGTATTGATTTTGTTTGTTGTGTCAATTATATTTATTCTAGTTTAAGTTCAAAACATTGTATTATGTCAAGTTTTCGGGAATATTTTAAGTCATCGAATAACAGTATAACGTACTTAAAAGTATAGGCCAAATGGAATATATATATATATATTTGGGAAGACAGCTTATTTACAAATTACGTACACCTAATCTTCGAGCATCCATTTGCAATACAAGCAGGCTATCGAATGTCTTCTGATCTTCAAAATACTTTGATATCGTCATGCATTACGATCTGACACTCTTCTCTTCCGTAGTAGCTACTTGTCGATACTCCGTAGCATACTACTTTTAAGCCACGTTGAGAGTAGTATCCATCTTCACAGCACACGGACAGTCTAAATCGAAAATCTGTAGCTAAAACTCAATAACATGTACATATTTGATGGTTCTAAGTAGCTGAATGGATTTCCAAAATTTGAAGTCGATTTTCTCCATCTTCATATTAAAGTTCTTTCGTTACAGATACTCTGTCATCCGACAGAAGATTCGTTGATATTTACCTACAATTTATAAATACATAAATATACATTCGAGATCATCAGTCAATCATTGTTAGACCTCCATTAGAACCTGGAAGCACTGGAAATCCGTTTCGTACTGGTATGGGACTCATCAGCAGTGCGCATCCACGACTCCTGCACATCGCCCAGTGGTACGATGGTTAGGCGTTCGCGCACAGTGTCGAAGGTCCCGGGTTCGAATCCTGCGAGGTGCAGGAGTCGTGGATACGCACTGTTGATGAGTCCCATACCAGTACGAAACAGCCGTCGAGTGC